CATTTTATAAATAAATAGGATGGAATATTTTCGTCATTGCAACATTGTTTTATAAAAAAATACTTTAACCCTTTCTTGACTGGGGTATTTTTGTCTAATATAGATGAGGGGGGGGGGTTTAGAGTTGAGATAGGGAGTGTATAACATTGTCCATTGTCCCACTGCTCATTAAAATATTAGACCTCTATCTTTCATGGTTAGGGAGAAAGGGATGGTTTTAAAAATTTCAAAAATTACGTCAGAAAAATGTTCAGAAATAGTTAATTTTACTTTTGACAAATATTAGCATCCATTTTTAAAAGGCTTTTAAAAATAAAAATGTTAGCCCTGTAACTTAACCCCATCCCAAAGCCCTTATTCATATCATTTTTCAAGGGCTTTTCAAATATATAAATCTTATCTCTGTGGCTTGTTTTTTTTTTGAAAGTCATAAACCATTTATGATTTTTTTGAACCATATGACCCGGAGTTTGACCGTCCTCCACCCTACCTTATACATAACAAAAATTGTAAAGCAAAATTTGTTGACAATTATGAAGTTGAACAAGTCAAGAATGTTGCCGTTATTAAGTTATTTAAAAAAATTCCCATCGTGAAAGAGTTAATCTCGCGCTTCGCGCTAGTTCTCTGGTAACAGTAATAGATTTTAGATTCGGTGTTACAAGTCACCATTTCATTTCGTAAATTAGAAATGTAAAATTTGGCCACAAACAATGTGGACCATATCGGCCATTTTTTTATCATGTACTGTTAAGAAAAGTTCGGTTCGAACGGTTATTCTGAAGTAAAATTAAAAATCGAAAGTCATTTTGAAATGACTCATAATTTAGTTGTTTTTACTTCTCTTGTAAAATTATTTTATATTTTCAGTAATCTTGTATAAATATTCACTGTTGTTAAGCACCTTAGGATAAAAACTCGTTCACCCCCCCCCCCCCGCTTTCCCAATTTTAAAGTACATTCCTCTTTTTAATTAAAAGAATAAAAATGCACGGAACTGCTGGGGTTGTAAAAAGTTCTTAAATCTAAAAAGAGATTTATTGCTCGTAACTTGTTGAAGGAAATAGAAGGAGAACTTTTCATTTAGCTTTCTAGCTTTCTAGGTTTTTAGCTTTCAAGCTTTCTAGCTTTCTAGGTTTTTAGCTTTCTAGTTTTCTAGCTTTCTAATTTTCTAGCTTTCAAGTTTCATAGCTATATAGTTTTCAAGCTTTCTAGTTTCATAGCTTTCTAGTTTTCTAGCTTTCTAGTTTCATAGCTATATAGTTTTCAAGCTTTCTAGTTTCATAGCTTTCTAGTGTTCTAGCTTTCTAGTTTCATAGCTTTCTAGTTTTCTAGCTTTCTAGCTTTCTAGCTTTCTAATTTTCTAGCTTTCTAGTATTTTTCTAATTTTTTAGTTTTCTAGTTTTCTGTTTTTAAAGTTTTCTAGCTCTCTAGTTCTCTACTTCTCAACACGGAAACGGATCTAAAATTACTTTAGAGGAATTTACGTTCTTTTTTAAACAAATTAGAGGAAATCCCTCAAAAGTTCAGAATTGTCGAGGGATTTCCGAATATTTTGTATCCTTTTCCCAATATTTATAGTTGAATGGTTTCCTCTTATTTTAGGTTGGTTTCCTTATATTTTTGATCCGTTTCCGCTTTTTCAAAAAAACTTTTAAAATCTCAATTTTTTTGCTTTATAATGTTCCTTCTAAAGAAAAACAAATTTTATTTTCTATATTCTTTTGCCTAAAAAGCCTTTTGTATTTATTTTTATAAAGTAATTATGGGTCAGTAAAAATACCTTTCTTGCATACATTGCTAGTGCATTCGAAAAATATAAGCATTTTTCATATTTTGGTTTGTTATGAAAACTGTACGAATTGCAGAGAATAACTAGAATTTGTAAATAAAAAATAACATGATTTTTCATAAATTATGGTCAACGCCGTGCACTTCAGCTAGTAGTTTATTTATTTTAATGCTTTGTGGATCATTAATTTTGTCTTCTGCGATGCCTCCTTTACAACTACAGAAAATTTAATATAATTTTATGTTTTTTAATTTAAAGTGAAAAACTTATGAAATAATGAGGTTGTTTGTATTCCTAAAAATGTGGAAGAAACTTTTTGAATACAGTGGTCAGCATTTATATTAATACAGTGGTCAGCATTTATATTAATACAGTGGTCAGCATTTATATTAATACAGTGGTCAGCATTTATATTAATACTATGATGACAAGTTTCCATTTCTTTCTTATAACTAACTTATTCAAGTTCCAAATTAAAACAGGCTTGTAATTATAGATTTTGATTAGAACGCGCCGCTGGGGAAATTATTTTTAAACAACTGGCATTTGTTGACACATATAGAGTGTACAATATAATATCACTGCAGATCGTCAATCAGGTCTGAATTACGTTTTTTCTGGCGCCGAATTTAAAGAATTTGAGCCGCGGCTGAAATTGAAGACTTAAGCCGGCGCTTAATTTAAACCTGGTTTTGGCGGATCTAAACCGCGGCTCAAATTCTTTCAATTCGGCCTCTGGCCTAATAAGAAATTTTAAGAAGAATAAATCATTTTGTAAAATTACTTGATTAAGGCTTAAGCAAAAGTAAGCAAATTAAACTCTCTAGTTCTCTAGTTCTCTAGTTTTATAGCTCTCTAGTTCTCTAGTTCTCTAGTTCTCTAGTTATCAAGTTATCAAGTTCTCTGGTTTTATAGTTCTCTAGCTCTCTAGCTTTCTAGTTCTCTAGATCTCTAATTCTCTATTTCTCAAGTTCTAGAGCTCTCTAGTTCTCTAGTTCTCTAGTTCTCTAACTCTTCAGTTCTCTAGCTATCTAGCTCTCTAGTTCTCTATTTCTCTAGTTCTTCAGCTCTCTAGCTCTCTAATTCACTAGTTCTCTAGTTCTCTGGTTCTCTATTTCTTAATATCTGTAGCTCTCTAGCACTCTAATTCTCTATTTCTCAAGTTCTCGAGCTCTCTAGTTCTCTAGTTCTCTAGTTCTCTAGTTCTACAATTCTATAGTTATCTACTTCTCTAATTTTCGAGATCTTCAGTTCTCTAGTTCTTTAGTTCTATAATTCTATAATTCTTTAGTTCTCTAGCTCTTCAGTTCTCCACTTCTTTAGTTATCTATTTATAGCTCTCTAATTCACTAGTATCTAGTTCTCTATTTCTCTATTTCTCTAGCTCTCTAGTTCTCTAGTTCACTAGTTCTCTAGTTCTCTAAATCTCTAATTATCTAGCTATCTAATTCTTTAGTTCTCTAATTCTCTAGTTCTCTAGTTCTCTAGTTCTCTAGTTCTCTAGTTCTCTAGTTCTCTAGTTCTCTAATTCTCTAGTTTTCTAGTTCTCTAGTTCTCTAATTCTCTAGTTCTCTAATTCTCTAGTTCTCTAATTCTCTAGTTCTCTAGTTATTTAGTTTTCCAGTTCTCTAGTTCTATAATTAAAAAGTTCTCTAGTTCTCCAGTTCTCTAGTTCTCTAGTTCTCTAGTCCTCTAGTTCTCTAGTTCTCTAGTTCTCTAAATCTTTAGTTCTGTGATTCTCAAGTTTTCTAGTTCTATAATTCTCTAGTTTTCAAGCTCTTCAGTTCTCTAGTTCTCTAGTTCTCTAGTTCTCTAGTTCTAAATCTCTAGTTCTCTAGTTCTCTAGTTCTATAGTTCTTCAGTTCTCCAGTTCTCTGAAGTTCTTTAGTTCTATAATTCTCAAATTTTCTAGCTCTATTAGAGTTCTTTAATATTCTAATTTTCTAATTCTGTAGTTTGTAAGTTCACTATTTCTCTAGTTTTCCAGTTCTCTATTTCTCTAGCTCTTTTGTTCCGCGATTTTCCAATTTTTTTTATTTCTATTGTGCTCTAGTATTATAGTTCTCTGATTCTGTAGCTCGCAAAATATTTTTATTTCTCTAGTTTTCTAGTTCTCTAGTTCTCTAGTTCTCTAGTTCTCTAGTTCTCTAGCACTTTAATTTTCTATTTCTCTATTTCTCTAGTTCTCTAGTTCTCTAGTTCTAAAATTCTAAGGTTCTCTAGTTCTCTAATTTTCTAGTTCTTCAGTTCTCTAGTTCTTTAATTAATTAATTCTATAATTCTTTAGTTCTCTAGTTCTCTAGTTCTCTAAATCTCTAGTTCTGTGATTCTCAAGTTTTCTAGTTCTCTAATTCTCTAGTTCTCTAATTCTCTAGTTCTCTAACTCTCTAGTTCTCTAATTCTCTAGTTCTCTAGTTCTCTAGTTCTCTAGTTCTCTAGTTCTAAAATTTTAAGGTTCTCTAGTTCTCTAATTTTCTAGCTCTTCAGTTCTCTAGTTCTTTAGTTCTTTAATTCTATAATTCTTTAGTTCTCTAGTTCTCTAAATCTTTAGTTCTGTGATTCTCAAGTTTTCTAGTTCTATAATTCTCTAGTTTTCAAGCTCTTCAGTTTTCTAGTTCTCTAGTTCTCTAGTTCTCTAGTTCTCTAGTTCTCTAGTTCTCTAGTTCTCTAGTTCTCTAGTTCTGTGATTCTCAAGTTTTCTTGTTCTATTATTCTCTAGTTTTCTAGCTCTTCATTTCTCTAGTTCTCTAGTTCTCTAGTTCTCTAGTTCTCTAGTTCTCTAGTTCTCTAACCTTTTAGTTCTCTAGTTCTCTAGTTCTATAGCTCTTTAGTTCTCTAATTCTCTATCCTAATAGTTTTCTATTATTCTAGTTTTTTGGTTCTGTAGTTTTCTAGTTCTATAAATCAAAACAGAAAAATTCGCAAAAGTTTCTAAATGGACAACAGAAAAAGGCTAGCACATAGATAAGCTGTAAGAAATAGAGGGTTAACTTATAAAATGATTTCCAGGTTGTCACGAAACCTCTACCTATCTCTTACATGACTCCCAGCCTCCACTCTAGGCTCTACGCAGCGTACTCTCTCTGCAAAAATTTGCAGTTTGCAATTCTGTAGATTTTGGCAGGACGGAGGTAGGGGAGGCGAGAGACCGGGGTAGAGGCACCCGGCGTCTGATAGTCGAACATTGCAACTTTCAGACTTGCAGTTGTATTCTTACAGTCATACCAGGAACATACTGTACACTGTACATTCATTCAAGGCGTTTACTGTACACTGTACAGATAATGCTGTACAGTTTAAGCTGTACAATGAAGACATATTAGAGCTGGCATACAGTGAATTAAAACAATTCTTAAATGTGAATTTTTAAAAAGTGAAGGAATGAAAAATATTTTAACATATTTTCACAGGTTAAAAAAAATAATTCAGTGAATTTGACATTTTCCTTGCGAACCTAAAACTGATTGTTTAAAGGTTTATAAACATTGAAACCAAATAACCTAAAACTAATAATTCTAAAACTTAAAACACAGAACCTTAAAACCCAGATTCCATAATTTGAAACCCAGAATCTAAACTTGCAAACGTATACCAAGAATCTGAAACCCAGAACCTGAAACTCAGAATTTGAAACCCAGAATCTTTATCATGGGAGCAAGCTAATGGACTTAATTTAGGTAGAAAACTTTGTAATCACATGATATTTTTATTTTTCAATATATAAAAACAAATTTGAATTCTATCTTTTTTATCTTTATATCTTTCCAACCAGATTTTGTAGATATTTGAAAATATCTGAACTATAAATTCTGCAAAAAGTCCATTTACCAATAAGTAAAGATTATAAAGGGTTCTTTCTAAAAAAAATAATTGTTAATAAACATTGTGTGGACAAGAGAATTGGGTATGTTCTTACTTATATATTTGATTGCTTCAGAATTAAAGATTTTTAAACGTGACATAAATGTGTAATGTTTATAAGACAAAATTAAATAGGAAAGTATTTGTGTACAACTTGGAAATAGAAATTCAACGATTAACCCTATCCCCGCTGGGGTACTTGAAAACCAGGATACGCAAGGGGGGGGGTCAAATTGACCCCCCCCAGCGGGAATAGGGTTAACAGATTTTAAGATAATCCCTTTAGTTTCTTTTACTGTCAATATTGTAAATTATGTAGAAAATAGAATTTGCAGAGTCACGGTTGGAAGTTGAATGGTGCACTGAAATGCAATATTTTGCACAAACTTAAGTACTGTAAAAGTCTATAGCAGTGTACACAATATTATAGGTTTAATGACCAATCATGTTTAATACAAATTACACTGTAAACAAATAATGATTTGTGAAACAAATGAATGAATGTCACAGATGAAAAAAGGACAATTCTTATGATATTGAGAATCCCATAAAAAAATGTAAATAGACTTAGTTCTGATTATATACCTCCCAGGAACTTTGTGTAAAGTAAACTATGAACTTATCTGAACAACTAAGTTTGAACAATTTATTTTATCACTTTATATGTTCACAAGAAATGAACTGCAATTTAACATTATTTGGCAAATTTCTTAAAATCTTATTTCGAACAAATTGATTCCGAGTTATAAGAGATAAGTCTGAAAACTGAATGAAAATATATTGAGACACTTTCAGAACATTCAATTCTTAATTTAAACTTTTTCCATAGTTCTACACATTATTAATAAACATGCATAACAATAAAGATATATCATATATATATGCACTACATGCATTTGCATGTACCAATGATTTGATAAAATCATAGCCTAACAATATGCATTTTTAGCCAGAATAAGGGCTGTGAAAGTTCTGAAATGTTGATAACAATTGTTCATTTGGTTATTGTTTTTTTTCTGCATTTCTATTTTTTTTTTTTCTTTATGAACACTCAAACTATGAACTTTTTTTTTACTATAATTATTACTATAATGTAGATAAACGTGCAGGTTTTAAAGCTAGTTAATTTTTAAATTGCCCCCACCCCCCCAATTTGGGTGAACGGTTTAAATCCACATCTTTGTTATCAAAATACATTTAAATCCCAACTATTAACTGTTTTTTAAAAATGATCTTTTAATCCCTCTTAGTGAATTTGTATTTCATATTTATATTCAAAACACAATTTAGCATTTCTATTTTGAAACGTTTCAGCCAAGTTTTCTCGTCGGAGTCAAAACAAAGTAATTTGACCTAAATTAAGTATTCATAAATATTCAAATGTATAAATATCAAATACAAAACAATCAATGCTGCCTCCGCTCAACTTATAGAAATCTGCTCGTTTAGTTGTTTTCCCTTGAATCTAATAGGTTTATGATTTTTTGCGCAATTTTCTTGCTGTTTACGCAAACTTTTGCGCAGAAATTCAGCGTTAAAAAACGTGCAACCATTTTTTATTCTGTGCGCTAATCATAAAGAATCATAATATTTTTTCTAAAAGCCCGTGTTTGTGCTAAATATCTCTAATAATTTTTAATGTAAGTTTTAGAATTTTATACGGTTTTTTCTTTAAAAATACGCATGTATGGCCCACGTAAATTTATTCTGTTACATGTAAAAATTTAAAAACATTCTTGTTCTTCCTTAAAATCTTTTTAATAAGAGAATTTAACATGAAAATCATTTAATATTTGCAATTTGCTTAAGTTTTACGTCTTTGTAAATTTTGATAACGAACTCTTCGCTTAAAATATACCGATCATCATATGCTTTATTGTGCAGACTAGCTTTCAAATCATATTATGTTCATATTTTTATATAAATCTATCAAAACTATATGATATATCTACAATAAATATAGTAAAGGTAATATTCTGATCAGCTTCCAGATTTATTTGATTGATTGCGGGCAAATCAATTGTTTGAATTCTTTAATGCTAAAAGATACAATGGAGCTCATTTATATTGCAATATTTAGAAACTAGGTTGGTAACCCAGCTTTGCCTGGCAATCCCTATACGTCAACCTACTTAACTTAGCATTTTTCAAGATATATGTAATCATGAATGTCACTTTCGCAGAGAAATCGCAAATGCAAATAAACAGCTTAAAGAAACAAAAACTTTGATGTCTAATTCATACTTAACCAGACACAAAGTTTAAAGTTTCAAATTGGGTACACAGTCCTTTTGATCGATCTGACTACCAACCCTATCCCCCCAACCTTTCTCTTTGCATAAAACAGAATATAAACTAAAAAGACAGTCTTGAAAACTGGTTTAATAGTGCAGCTGATTTTTACACGACAACTTTGCACTTTTTTACTCAACAAATAAAAATGTATTTTTAAATGCTAATCTTAAATGCTTTTTTTTACAGATTTTAAACTTTTATTTTTTAACATTTTAAATCATGGAGTTGGAAAATGATATTAAACTGTTTTAATAAATATCTTATTACAATAGATAGTCATTTTGCAACCTAACATGTAATTCGACCCAATATCTTAAAATAGTTCAATCCACAATCTTAAAAAATGATTTTATTTCATAACTAAAATAATACAAACATTAAACATATTTTTTTACAACTCACGATATTATTTTTCGAATAAAGATTCATGATTTTATTGAACAGCCAAAACACTATATAATTTTGTTGACTTTATTTATATAAAGTAGCAATCTCTGTATGGGTGTTGTTTGTTTGTCCGATTATAACTCAGGATCGAACCCCTTGACTCTTACCCCGTTACCAATTGGTCAAGATCGAATCCCTTGACCACGTTACCAATTGGTCTAAAACTTTGATTAGGGAACTCGGTAGAACCACGGAAATATTCTTTGCCTTGTTTAAAACTTCTAAGTTAAGTTTTACATGGAAAACTCCAGGCAAAGCTGGGTTTTCCCTTTTCAAGCTGCAGCTAAACAGAAGTTAACAAAATAAAAAATTGTTTTTCTGAAATTTGTATTTAGAGGTTGAACCAATATTTCATTCAACACTTTGGAGAATCCACCCCTATTAAGTGGGGGAAGACTCCTGTTCAACTATAATTTGAATAATTCTCCCTATTTTAAGTCTATTGAGTTGTAACCAATTGCACAAACCATCCGTTTAGTCCAACAACTTCTCTCGCTATCAAAAATTCTCACCCGAAATGGATTGAAAGAGTAATTTTAAGTAACCTTCCAATTTCAAAGTTGCATGCCGATTTATAACGTTATACTTTGAGTAACAATGAAGAAGAAATCGGTTTTTTTTTTATCTGGAAACGTGTCGAATTCTGTACCGCAACTTCGCAAGTCATGTTTATTGACAAACAACAATTACCCATTTTCGTTATTTTTTAAAATTTTTGGTTTTGCATAGTACGAGGAAAATAAATATTTAACCCTATTCCTGCTGGGGGGGGGGGTCCCCCCTGTAGTTTTTTACATAACAAAATGTATTGGTCTGAGGCTGTTAAAGTTTTCTGACTTTTTCCTAAATACCCACAGCCCTCCCTTAAGGTATAAAACCGGGCTTTTATAATAACTGAGTCCTCAGGCTCACTGCCTGAATGACTACTTTTTCCCGTAACAAACAAATCTTTGTTTTGATCTTTTTGGAAAGCCTCTGACATAAGGAAACGGATAGCGCAAGTTTTGTAAAGAAATTTAGCAAATTATTTGCATACAACCCGTCAAAAGAAATTTGTACATTTTTAGTTTTTCTTAATTACACATCAAGTTACTTAAAATTTTGCAAATATTTTTGCAGATTTGAAATGGAATGATCAAGGCCTTTTCAAAAATGTATTTTGGACATTTTTTTTTGCAAACATTTTTACTATTTAACCGGATTTTGCAATTTTTATCTTTATTCAAAAGTAGAGCATTGGAGCTTTAATTTAATTTGATTTGATTTTATTTGATTTGTCATATTTGGACATCAAATATGGGATTTTGAGGGGGGGGGGGGTAAAATCGCCCTCCCCCAGCCTATCCTGATTTTCAAGTACCCAGCAGGGAAAGGGTTAAAAGCTTAATTTTTTATAGAAGACCCTAAAGCATCCTTAACGCTTAGTTAACTAGAGGGAGAGAGTTTAGCATGAAAATTTCAAAACATAAAAACTAGTTTTCATATAAAGTTTTCTCCCAGAAATATTTGACCATAATCTAATTTAAACTGCCGCTGTATATACTTAACACTTTTTCTTCACCCCCCTCCCCCCTCCCCCCCTTTTATTCTTAATATACCTCTTTCATTTTCATAAATTCTTAAGTCATTTAAAAATATTATTTATTGGTTAATTATGAGAACATGTCACCAATTGAGATTAAGAATTCGTACACTTTTGACATGGAAGGCCAAACTTATCTAAATGTAGATTTTAGACAAACCGCCCGATCGTATAGATTTAAAAATGTTAGATTTTCAATAGGTGATAATCTTTAGATACAGGGTGTCCCACGAAACATGACAGTTGGTGATTAATTTTGAATATCTTCTTCCATATATCGTATTGGATATTAAAGTTGTTTGCAGTTTATATCGTTAAAAATATATCTTTTCCTCAAACTTACTTTACTTTGAGATCAATTTTACTATAATATGATTGCCATATAATATTTTTATCATTCTCTTTAGAGTCAACAACTTAACTAATCATTGGAGAAGACATTTTAAACTCTTCACCAACTGGCATGTTTCATGGGACACCCTCTATCTTTTCTTTTCTTGGTGATATAAACCATAGCTTAAAATTTTCAAAATTTCTTTGTGATTTAAACCTTAGCCTACATTTCTCAAACAAAAATGAAATTGTTAATCATAAAAAGTTTATGATTTTTCTTGTCTTGTACACTGTCAGTTTAAGTAAACTGTACATTATATAGCTTGCATTGTACAACATAACAAAATTAAGCGACTAGCCTGGGACCATTAAACTTTTGTGTACAATTAAAACTTCAAGATAAGAAGCAGTTTCATTAAAAGTTGAGTAATTTGTGGAATACTCAATTCAATTGGCCGAATTCTTGTTTTTTTTAATTGTTCAGCAAGGTCAGCAGGTCTAGCTGATATAACTACAATCTCTATATAATAAAACAAGACATTTGCGTATAGCCGGCCAAACAGCTGGACCGATTGGGCTGAATTTTTTTTGTGGACACTCATGGGTGACCAACGGGTGTTATAGGCTAAAAAAAATTCGAAAGTTATTTAAAAATTTAAAAAAAAATTTTCCACGGGCAACGCCGGGTCCTTCAGCTAGTAGCTAATAAAACTGCAATAATTGTTGCAAAACAAAAGTTACAACATTTACAGAAAATACATTCCTGCTGGATCAATCTCATGCTTTAAAACTTTAAATAACTACAAATGAGAATAGTTTATTTTCTTTGTTCTGTTTTTAAGAACTTCATTTTTCCAAAGAATACACCATTAACAAAGTGTCTACAAAAAGTGTACTGTAAAGTTTGGACACTATATCTATTTATATATATTTATATATTTTTATATATCTATTACTAGATATTTCTATTTCTATTTATCTTGTTTATAATATTATAAATATCGACTATACTTGGAATGATTTTCGACAAATGCGCCATTTGATATAGAGAAGATGTTTATTTCCTTTTAACTATAATTATATATTGTTAACTATAAATCATAAAAATATTGCCAAATTTAACAGATATATTAACGACTTAAATTACCTCTATTTCCAAATACACTTTTAAAAGTTTTAAATAGGGTTTTAATTTGTAAAAAGTCATAGCTTTGATATTTTTAAAACAACGTTTTACTAAAATTCCTGGCGATTCTGAAAATTAAAAAATGTTGTCCTCACATCTCAACATAAGAAAGACATTGATTCTGTACGCGGTGTAACTTGACGGACTTGTTTTTTACGATTAACTCCAATAGTGAAATATTTATCTTAGTTTGGTTAAACAATAGAAGTTCATCACCGTTTCATATCCTTCAGTTTAATGTTTAAAGCGACTGTAAAGTTTTTAAAGTAACCATGGAAAGATGGCAATGTCTGATTTACAAGTATGTATTATAAATCCATGTTTTTCTTCTAGAAAACTGTTTATTTTGATTTCTGGTTTCTCTGCAAAAGTGACTATGAGCTCATTTCTTGCTAATTTGAAAGACTGGAGAAATGATCAGAAATAAACACTTCAGAGTCAGAAAAACGACGTTACCGCTCCACATTTTTGATCAGAGTATGGTTTCATGGGTATCCTTGTAAAGCAGGCATTGCTATCTTTGCAGTTCCCGCAAGGGAGCTATATTGCTTTTAAAGTCTTTTTTCATCATTTAAAAAACATGTTTGGACTTAGGAGATTGTATATTGAATGTGTGCAGTCGACTGCAATGTTTTTTTTTTATGACGGACGTAAAAATAAAACGGAGACACTAAATTGCTACAGCAGACAGCATCTATAGATATTTAATGTCAAGGAAATTCATTGCATTTTTTAAATGGTTTTAGAAATATCAAGGTTGTAAAAACAGAAAATAAAACAGTTTGTGATTTTATTTTTCCAATTAAAATATTTTGTTGAAATAGATAATAAAATGAGATAAATCTGACTGCTATTCAAGTAAGACGATGATATCCTGATAAAAATCTAATCTATTATTTTTGTTTATCTGCATTAATTTTCCTTAAAAAAATTGAGCTTCATGGTACTTTTAGTCTATAAACATCATTATATATTCTGTAACATAACGTTACCAAACTCTAATTTTCAAATTCTTCAAAACTTGATTATATCTGAATCACTTCTGTAACCCGTAACTACAAGCTTGATGACTAATACAAATTTGAATTTTCAATGGTCTACACCATTAGGTTGCAAAGATAGAAAGAAATTAAAGGTACATTGTGTAAAACTCCCATACTATTAAATGATACACAAAATGTCCAGCTGCAAAAATTAGAAAATTAAAGGAACTGTCCACAATTTTAAGTGATCCTCCATTTAAAAAATTAGAGCCCGATTCACAACAGATTAAAAATATTAAACGACCAATATGATTTAGACTTATGAATTTTGAAATGAGGGATTACTTGTTTATATTCTCTTTTAGCGACAAGATTAACTAATGTTTGAATCTCCAGGTTTGAGCGATGATGAGTCCAGTGCAACAATTTGTAGGAGGAACTCCAGGTTTTCCGTTCATAAACACATATCATGAACAGGTGGGTTCATAAACATATATCATGAACAGGTGGGTTCATAAACACATATCATGAACAGGTGGGTTCATAAACACATATCAAAAACAGGTGGGTTCATAAACATATATCATGAACAGGTGGGTTCATAAACATATATCATGAACAGGTGGGTTCATAAACACAT